TCAGGAAGTCTGAAACTGCTTCCTATCCACCAAATAAAGCTAAGGCACATCTGCTATTCCAGTCAGACACTGACTGGAGAAGAAGGGCAGCTTGGTACCCAAAGAGAAGGGTACCAGGTCATTGTCCTCCCACTTCTGGACTAAGGGTAGGGCAGCAGATCAAGGCTCTGTCCATCCCTCCAGTCCCCTGGCCCCCATCCTAACACACATGATTTCTGTCTCTGTACCATATACCTGGGGTCTCCATGTACCAGGACAGGATTTATGCCACACCATGGCAAGAATCTCAGGCTTCTGGGCTGGCAAGATAACTTGGGAGGGGACACTTTAGCTTGCCAGAAGTGACCTGCAGGCTAGAAGTGTCCAGCAGCCCCATGCTTCCTTCACCTACCCCATCTCTGGGGTGTGACAAATAAGCCTCAGTGTTCATGTGCGCCCATCATCCAGATCAAGATAGGATATTTCTAGCACCCAGGCAGTCTGGTTCCACAGTTTGCCCATTTGATAAGTACCAGGCTATTAGCATTTCCTGCCCCTGGAGAATCCTGTTTATGTGGGAAGAACCCAAGAAAGACTTACAGACTCATATACTCCTTTATGTTCAAGTGGAAGAAACAGAAGCCCAGAGAAAGCTAGGAAGTGGCCCAAGATCACACAGCAAGTCAGTGGCTGAGCCAGAATTAGAATCCAGGATCTCCTCATACTCAGACCTGCTTATGATGAGTGGTCCAAGAGAAGGACCAAACCATGTGTCCCAAGATTTTGGGGGTGGCTCTGTTCCTTCATCTCCAAGCATAGGCTGGGTGTACCTCCTCCAATGCACAAGAGTCTGTCAACAAGCATGAACACTGCGAGTGGGACATTCCTGAGGCTGGGGCAGGAGGTGTACAATTCCACGTTACCTCATACCATACATACAATATTCCAGATAAGCCAAAGCCCTAAATATGAATAGAAAACCTTTTGGAAGGAAACATGGGAAGATAATTTTAGAAAATCAGGATAGGGAAAGACTTCTTAAGACACACAAAGAACAAATCACTTAAGAAAAAAATTCACACATCTGATTACATTAAAATTCAAATATTTTCTGTGACAAATGACCTTTAAACAGAGCAAAAGCACAAGTCAAAGACTGGATAAATTCATTTGCATTATGTTAACATTATAAGAATTGGCACCCACAATATATAAAGAACTTCAACAAATCAACAACAAGAAGACAACTAACCCAAAAGAATATTATGGACGAAGGACATTAAACAGGCAATTCACAGAAAGAGAACATGAATGGCCACTAAACATAAGAAAAGATTTCCACAATTATGAAAGCACAAATCAGTCAGGTCTGGAGCAAGGACCCTCACAAGTGGCTTCACCTGGCGGAACCAGTGCTTCACGAGCAGGATCAGGTTCTTCAGCTTGGCTGGGCGAGTGTTCACAAAGTTCCTCTGCAGCTCTGTGAAGCAGGCTGAGTGCTCGCCCCCCTGGCAGCCACTTCTGAGGAGGGTGGCATAGACCTGGGGCTTGGGTTTGGCACCGGAGCTGAGCTGTCCTGTTGGTGTGAAGAACTGTGAGTTAGGAAGGGTGCTAAGGATACAGGATGGAGGACAGTGTTGGTGCTCTGGGAGACAGTGGGAAGAATTTGGAGGAAGGGAAATCTGGCAACTTGGGAGTTGGGGGACTTGGAAGAGAGCCTGTAGCTTTTCAGGAGGCAGAGAAGAAGAGCTGCACTCTAGAATGCAGAGGGACAGTCCCTTCCTCCCAAGTGGCCAAGCATTTGGCCGAAGAAGGGCAGCTGCATTCCAAAATGATTAAACAAGGACGATGCCTCCGGCTGAGTCAGGAGTAAGTACCGACAACCTGGTGATGATTTCCTCCCCGAGGCTCCCTCAGGTAGTACTAAAAAACCACTGTGCATACCTTTAACTAATTGGTGCCATAGGAAGAAGAAAATGATGCTGGAGAAGGCAAGGGGTCCTGATCCCTTAGCCCGAAGAAGGGCAGCTGCATTCCAAAATGATTAAACAAGGACGATGCCTCCGGCTGAGTCAGGAGTAAGTACCGACAACCTAGTGATGATTTCCTCCCCGAGGCTCCCTCAGGTAGTACTAAAAAACCACTGTGCATACCTTTAATTGGTGCCATAGGAAGAAGAAAATGATGCTGGAGAAGGCAAGGGGTCCTGATCCCTTAGCGGTGATTGTTAATTTGTTTTGAGCACTTACTACATGCCGGGCACTGGGCTGAAAATTTTACATGTACCTCCTCATTGTATCCCCACCACAGCCCTAAGAGACAGGTATAATTCTTCATCCCATTTTATAGCTGAGGAAACTGAGGCACAGAGAAATTCCATGTTTTGCCCAAGTGATGGAGCTGGCAAGTGATGGAGTCAGGATTTGAACTCCGAGCTGACTTTACAGTCTGTGCCTTTTCTTCCACCACTACCACGAGCATGGCTTGGGAAATGTAAATAAACACACTCTTCATATTTCCCTAGGTTGTTGCCACAATTTATCTGTTGTATGGCTTTGGGCGAGTTACTGTATGTCTCTGTGTCTCAGTTTCCCCAATGGTAAAATGGAAGACAAAACAGTACAGATCTCACAGGCTTGTTGTGAAGAATCAATGAGATAAAGCGTGTCGAGTTCTTAGATTAGTTAAGCATTGAATAAATAGTAACTATTATGATTAATATGTGTACCCCGCAAGTGGGTATACTAGGCATGGGGAGTGTGGGGTCTGCCCAAGGGATAAAGCTGTCTCCCAGAGCATCAAGGTAAATAATAATAATGAGAATAGGAATAATAATAGTAAGCCCTCATCTAACCCTTATCATGTGCTAGACACTCTTCTAAGTTTGTTACCTGTATTAATGCATTTAATTCTTCCAACACTTCTATAAGATAGATTACTATTATCCCCATTACTATTATCCTCATTTTACAGATGAGAACACAGAGGCATATTTTTATATTAAATCAAGCATAGGTATATTATTGAAGGAGAATGCAAAAACCACATTAATGTTTTCAAGATACAATACAAGATTTTGCAGAATTCTGGTCTTGTCCCCAGACCCTTGTTGCCAGCTACAATTTGCCTTTGCCTTTGGGGTATTTGTGGAAGGGCTGAGCAGTACTGCTCTAGGCAGTTGCTGAAGGAAACCTCAAGATACTTGGGTAAGGGTCAAGCATCTTAACACCAGACTACAGATCCAAGAGGAACTAGGCCTTCCTGGTCCTTGTCTGGTCCAAACCAAAATGTTCAGTCAAGAAACTGAGGCCCAGAGAGGGGTAGAAGCTTGCCGAGGTCACGCAGCATGATCTGTTACCTAACCCTGGAATGGGCCAGGCCCCCTTACCCAGAACATCGAAGGCGGGCACCAGGCTAACATCCATCCAGTTTTCAAGGTCTACAGATGCCAGTCGGAACCTCAGGACCCCGGACATATCCTGCTCAGGAAACTTAAGGCTCAGGCCGGGGACTGGGTCCCGCCACCAGGATTCCAGCAGTGTCCGCATCTCATTGAGGATCTGTGCACGGTGGGCCCTCTCATCCTCATAGCTCTTGAAGCAGTCGAGGAAGATGACAAGTTCGCAGTCACAGCCCCCCCTGAGAGCTGTGCCCCGGCCAGAGGAGCCTCCCTAAGAAGAAAAAAATAAATCAGAATTCCATCCTCTCCCATTCTAGTGCCCATGCAGGCCGGCCAGCAACTTAAGTGAGGCAAATGCGCTGGGTGGAGACTGTGGCCACACATCTGTAGGCAAGAATGCAGACCCAGGGCAACCAGGTCTGAGTTTTCAAGAGAATCAATTTCAATATGTAAACCCATGATTTTTATATGTTTGCAACTAACTTTAAAAAAACTAAAACTGCAAGTAAAACAAATCAAATTCTTCTTTGCAGAACGTATGTTCATGACCTTTGCTTGGGATGACTACAAAACTGTGGTATGATTCACTGAATTTCTGAGACCTTTCTGACCAGTGTTTCTTTCTGGAAAGCTTCCATCCTGAGGATTTGGGAAGCAAACTCTGCTCAGTTGCTCTGTGCCTGGTATTGGACACCCGAAATCTCCTCTGATGTGGTTACATGTGGTTACAGACATGGGAGTGAGGGTGAGCAGTGAGGTTACATAGCCAGTAAATGGCAAGAACCAGGACTAAGCCTTTCAGGAACAAGTCCTGCCCCAGACTGGGTCCCCTAATTATCCCAATGATTATGCCGGTCCCTTTACTTCCAGCTCCCACACTGGGGGCTGCCCACCAAGCAGGAACAGACACAAGAATATTACAGACTGGGCATCCCCTACATGTTTCGCACACAGCCATCTCACTTAGCCTTCCTAATAATCCCTGGAGGAAGGTACTGTTGTGCTCACTTTACAAAGGAGGAAACAAAAGATAGAGAGGTTGTCACTGGCACATGATTCCACCCCCCAACCCTGCCCTAAGCTAGAAGAGGCAGGGCCAGGCTCTGAAATCACATTCTTTTTCCCACCCATACATTAGTTTACTTAAAAATAGTTTTGACTAAAGTTACACAGAAGAGGATTTTAGAGAAGTCTTTTGCTACATTTGCCCCATTGGTTTGACCCCCTTTTTCTTCTTTGTGTGATTTTAAAAGAAATTCCAGCCAATGTGTCATTTCATCCACAGACACTTTCACAGGCATGTCTAAGATAGTGATTCTCATAGTAGGCAGTTGTGTCCCCAGGGGACCTTTGGCAAAGTCTGGAGGCATTTTTGGTGGTGATGACTGGGGTGGGGTAGACCCTTCATATTGGCCCTGGGTGTGGGGGAGCAGTCTCACATGGCCTCAGAGGTTTGTGACCCTTTCTTTGCTTTCTGGTCCAACCAGAAGCCCCAGACTCATCTTGTACATCCCACCCCAGCTCTGGAATCTGTCATCCCTCCAAGGAGTCCTTTCAGTGGGGAATGGCATCTCAAGACGATAGTGTGGGCCCTTGAAATAAAGCCCAAGCCCTACCCACTTCCTCTTTCAAAGCCTTGAGCCATCAGAAGGCCATAAGCTAAATTTAGCCAAAAGATCTGTGCCAGGTTTTCCAGGGAAGCTAAGGATGCCATGGCTTTAGAGAGCCTTTAACTCTGGCTCCACAGAAATCCCTCCTGTCCATCTCAGAGGCAGAAACAGGCCTCCACATCTCCGAGGCTATAAGTCTCTCCTCCTCCTTCTCCATCTTCTAAGCTAAGATTCAGTCCTAGGAAGCCACTAGGTCCTCTGAGGCCATCTCTTGCTCTGTGTTTTCACTCCTTCCTCTGACAGCTCCAAATTTGCTCTACCCCACCCAGGTTCCCTCCATCCACTCCTGGCATCCAGGAGTTTACCCTGAGGGTTCAGCAGTGTCTTCTCTCTGAGTCTGTGAGCATCCTGACGTCACAGTTGCAGTGTGGCACAATGTTTAAAGGACAAAAATTGACTTACAGCAGTGGCTTAAACATGCTCAGCCTTAGTTTCCCCGTCCGTAAAACAGGGACAATAACCCCCACCTCACTGAATGTGAGGATTAAATGAGATAGTACCTATTTAATGAGATAATATTCACTGTTGTTCGGTAATTTCTCAGTCAATTGAGTTATTATGGCTATTACAGAGTATTATGATTTCTGCATCCTAGGGCCAGGCCTAGCCTGAGGTTCATAGTCTGTTCAAATGACTGGGTGAATGAGTGAGTGAATGAATGAGAGGCAGCCTTTAAGAGCACAGATGCAGGAATCAGACTACCTGGATTCGAACCCTGGCTGGGCCTCTTACAGGCATTGGACATGTTACTTGACTGACTGTGCCTCAGTTTCCCCATCTGTCGAGTGGGGTTTAATCCCTGTCTGGCAGGGCTGTTGTGAACAGTGTATTTTCAGGGCACTTAGAACAGTGCTGGCACTTATTAAAGAAAGGAATGAGAAGAGCACAGACAAAGCCACCCCCACCGTAAGGCTCCGTGAGGCTGAAGCGACCTCCGAGTGTCGCCCCTACTGACGGATGCAGGCCCCGAGGTCGGCCCCGCCCCGCCCGGCCCCCTGGCCGGGGTCCCCTCACCTTGACCCCCTTCAGCACCCGCGGCAGCGGCTGGCCGGGGCGGCCCCCGCGCTCTGTCAGGGCGCAGACCAGGGCGCCCAGCGCGCGCCGC